ACTTGGAAAGATTACTGCGTTACAACATACAAATGATGATTTATCAAACACAAGTCCTGGTTAATCTAACGTATAGTGTGAATTATAACTATTAATGAGTATTGTGAATCTTCTATGACAAATGAATGACATGATATCACAAATATTATGGATTTTTATATAATAATAATATAGTAGATTGTAAGAAATAATACAAAGTGTGATTGTAAGGAAACAATTACAGGTACATTTTGCAAAGGCAGATTATATTCTTATTTATATAATTGGTATTTTCCTTTCTTTTTTTTATTGCAGAAATCTTGTGTATAAATTAAAAAAAGAAGTAATATTGATTAATTATTATATGCATATCTGTATATACATATATATATATATATATATATAGGGGAAAAAGTTTCTTCGTATTTAAAAAAATTTTTTTGCAAAAGTTTTCATTTGTTGCGAAATTTTCATTACAATTATATTATTTGCTAGAGCAAAGTTTCAGCTTCAAAAATCTGTTTTTTAAATTAATGATTTTTATCGGAGTTATGAGCAATTAAAGTCAGAATGCTCCTTTAACTCGTAAATAACTCAAGAACAAAAATCATAGAAACATTTTTCAAAAATGGTTTTGTAGAGAAAGCTTTAAGCTTTCACGATAGGTAGTCGAAAATTTTCGTAAATTTTTTTTTGGGGCACGTGAGAAACCCCCAAAGTGAAAAAGATAAAAATTTTTATCAAATTCACAGAAAAAAACTCAAAAAATATAATAACTTTTCGAAAGTAGAGATTTCAAGCTTTAAAATTCTTTTTATAAATTTAAATTTTGTTCATTTTTAACGAAGATATTGTATATACAATTATGAATTATTATATACAATTAAAAAATACAAAGAATCTTTTTCCCCGATCTAATATATAATTGTATATATAATTTTTATTTTTCTAAAATGTAAATTTATATATATAATTATTATATTCTTCAATATTTAGATATTAAATTGATACAATTTCACGATTAAATTTATTTAAATAAAGGGTTTGACTTTAATTTGAATATTATCGTTAACAGTCTTTAATATATTATACAGAAATATTATTGCAGCTCTTAGATTTTTAATATAAAATAAGAATATACAATATTTACGATTTTATTGTTGAAAAGTTGGACACGAGAATTTTTTTGGACACTTTCATTGCTTTACGTTAAACAGAAATATTCAAATCGATTTTCTTTATGTAAGAATACTTTTTAAGTAATCATTTTAAGTAGTAATAATTGTACATGTGCTTATACTAAATTCAATTACATTATTTTATATGATATATATGATTGCAAACGAAGTAGAGAATAGGATGAATGTAAACCATGAAAGATGCCTTGGCTCGTGTCCAGAGTAATACTATCGTGTATTTTTATTTTTGTATCATATTAAATATGATATCGCGAAGAATAATATTTACAAAGAGAATAATCTAATTTTTTCTCTAAAAAACTTGATATGCGAGAGCACAAACGTGTATATCTAACCGTTCCTCCGCGAATTTAGCTGAGTATATATTATATAAACGTATTATAAAAAAAGAGCATATATATTTTGCGTACAATGAAAAAAGATTACAAATATTTATTATAATAAGAGTATATACATTATTTTTTATTTTATTACAAATTATTTATGTTTATGCGTACAATTATCGAAAAAACTGATAAGCACTAGGGCAGCAGAAGAGAGATTTTTTTAAAGGAAGTTTCGTGTGTTACGACATTGTAATTCAGTGTGTTCCGCGTTCTCTTTATTTCAAGTTAAATTGAGAAATAATTACTTGGATAAGCTAATATATTTTGCGATGCCGGACAAAACTTTCTCTAGCTTATTGAAGTTTTAATAGTTGATGCTATCATGTTGTATTTCAAAAGAGCCATGAGTTTTTTAACTTTTCCAATACCTTTTATGATGCTTCGGAAATCCTAACAGTCTTCCATGTTTTATTGAAAAATCATCTGTTAACCTTTACTTATAATCTTAACTAATAGATTAATGTGTGATTTAAATTTCATATTGATTATTGATAATTCCTTCATGCTTCCTTGAGAACTTTTTTATTCTCCCTTCTACTTCTTATTAACAATATATGTTTGTGTTTGTGTTTGTGTGTGTTTGTATGCATTCGTGCGTACGTGTGCGTGTGCGTGTGTGTGTGTGTACAGGGTGTACAAAAAGTTTGACTTTGGGTGGCGTCGTCAAGGTCAAATGTATGTGATCAATGAATAGATCTTTTTAAACCTTATATCACTTTTGTCTGAAACATTTTTCTCAAAAATGCTTACTTTTCAAGATATTTGAAGGGTCCGGGACTTTTCGTACATCCTGTATATACACACATGCATATACATATATAACTTCAGATTGCTCATAAAATCGACGTTATTACGAGTACAATTTTTTCGATGTATTTTTTGTTCTTTCTTATCTTCCTATTTTTTCTTCATTTGCTTTATATTCATCGACTATATTTATATTTAAGGATAGTCATTGGTTCTACGAAACTACAAGTTATATTTTTTAATAGTTGTTTTAATGGCTTAATATTCAAATTGCAAGGATAATAGTATGTTCTTGATAATTCCTGTCTGAGAATATTATGAATATATATCTATGATTTTATTGTTTAATTTGACTTTAATGATATATTTATATTAAGACTGCAGATATATTTATGTAGATGAATTTATAATGTCAAAATATCAATGTATATACATATATATGTTTGTTGATTATAAGTTTTATATTCGAAATCCATAATAAGTCTGGATATGTAAAAAAGATTGATCTGTACATTGTTCTTATTTTACACATGACATAATTCTGCCTATATATCGGCTTAGATAGAACAAACAACATTCCACAACGAGCTAGTTGACGAAGAATTCAAAAGATGCATGGCAGCAGTATTTCTTAATCATTTAAATTTCTGATTTTATATATTTAATCTTTTATTTTTCTAAAGTTTTATAGCTATAGAAAATGAAATATGTTTTTCAAGAAATAATATTAAATTAGTATTACAGTTTAATAGTATATATTTTAGAAATAAGAAGTTTAGTAATATATAATACATTAAGCTTTGAGAGAAACAATGAAAGTTTTTTAAATAAAGACTTGCTATTTTTTTAGGAGATTATTTTCGATAAGTAGCATTTTATAAATTACAGATAAACAACTTTGTTAATCGAGGAACACTGCTTTGTAGAAATTCATAAACTAAGAAATGAGTACAGACCTATACTTTTACATCCATTTCTTCGTTATCTTTATATTAATAACGATTAATAAGTTTAAATTAAATTAAATGAATATTAGCAATTAACTAATAACAATAGCTGTTATACGTAATCACAGATGAATTAATTAAGTTTACGTTTGAGTGAGTACATCATGTTTAATCGATTTATTTCTTGCAGTTTAAAATTTATTCATCGAATAATGTCTATTTTCACTTTAAACAGTTTCAAAGAAACAGTCCTATAATTTTAGGTAAAATATGTATCAATAATAACGTTGAGAAATGATTTTATACAGTTATCATAACATTATGCATTCTCACACATTATGTATTTATGTGTTCTTATATCTTTAGGATGTGTGTATTCTATTTTTACTAATTATTTTTTTAGTAATAAGTGATGTAGTAGCTTACGTGTTTTATTATTTGTTGCGATGACGATGCATTTGTTAAGAATATGTCTTCTATGGTGCCAGAATAAGTAGCACAGTATATAATACAGTGAAAGTAAATAATTAACCATTATTCTGATGTTCTTGTTGATAAATCTCGTTTATGTATAGCGTGTCTTATATGAAGAAGCTTTTATTTTGAAGATATGTAGCACTGGAATATAGTTGAGAACTTACAAGAAATGTTTGGCAACGCGAAAAATAAAAGAGCCTTACAAAGAAACACAAAATAAATAAAATGGCGAAACAATTTTTCTTTCTTTTTCTTTGTTGAGTAATTAATATCTTCTCCAACCCTTTTGTTGTAAATCTTCATCTGAATAATCAAGATTATCATTTTTTCTTTCTCTTTCTAAATTGTATTCTTTCTAGATTTATTCTTTAGAAAGATAGAGAGAGAGGGAAGGGGGAGGGAGAGAATACCCTTTCATTTTAAGTCTGATCTTGTTTGGACTGAAACATTTCAAGGAATTCTATTGTTCCGAATGGATCTGTTTTTTAATATAATTATGATTCATAATATAATTATGATCTCTCTCTCTTTAATTAATCCTTGTTTCTGTAACTTCTATTTATTTATTGATGAACTCTAGTATACAATGATAATATTTTTGTAAAGTTGCAAATTTTTTAAATCTTTCTGTTGCTAAACATTTCTTGCTAATGCAATTCTAATATAAATCTGGAAGTCGAATGCATTCTTACAAGTCCATACATTTTAATTATTTAATTACATAATTAAATACTGTAAGTAGAAAATTAAATAATTAGAAACAGGAGCACAATTCGATTTCCAAAGATTTATATTACATTTTTATTAGGTAATAATTTTAAATCATGATTTTAACTTTGTCAAGGATATGTGTCCTTCATTAATTAGTGCAGCGTAATATATTTCTGCATTTATTATCGCCTGAAATTTTTCATTGTTTTGATAATTCCTTTATTTACCTCATAAACAAGTATATCATTTTAAATTCAGGCACTAAGATATTAAACTAGTCTACGTAGAAATGTATATTTTGTCTTATCTATTTTCCGTTTGTCTCACAGGTTAGTTACACACAAATATTGTATCATATAACTTTTGTATATGAAATAATAAAATATATATTCAGTTAAGCGTTCGTTTGTATTTGTCTGATTAAAATAGGTGTTTATGTTTAATTAAGAGAAGATTAATTAACTTTTGATTTTTTAATTTTTATTTTTGCTTTTAATGCGTACATCAGTATATCGAACAAATTCGAGTATATATATATATATATATATATTTGTGTTTTTGTAATGAAAAAAGTTTTGTTTATAATTTATCGAAAAACTACGCTACATATATGAATCGAATGCTCGTCGGGAAGATATTAATTGGAGCATGAAACTTGTCCTATATATAATTAGATTTAAGTGTGCGGATAAGATACCACCGTTACATATCGTGTAACCAACGTTACCAAAAGTTTTACAAATGATACCTATCGCGAAATCTTTTGCCGTAACATTGCGAACATCAATAGACGTTATTATCAAAGAACGAGTCGCGCACTATTTGCGCGTATAATAATAAATACAAATACAATTTTTGTTTCGGGAATATAATCGTGTTGTAATCGTCGCTTATTGGCAAGCTAGCGAATTGTCTGTTTCGGAATTAAATCACGCTTATATCATTAGGCCAATTCCTAGAACCGAATAGACTCTAGCATTGTAACTATATTCCATGTATACGTCTTAAAATCGAAGATCGTAATTTATCTAAATATATGATTTAAATGTCTGAGTACGTACGAATCGTAATGTATATAATGAACATTCGCGAATTGCGTTTCGCGTGTGGAGATTGGTTTCTTCGGTTCCATGGCTATGACCTATCACAACTTAGCTAGATTCGGCAAGACAGTTCGCCGCTTCCTTTTTCATGTTGATAATACATCGCGCGTAGCCTAACGAATATGTCTACAACACAATAGACTTTAGTAATTCTTGACTGGATGGGAGATATTGCTGTTGAGCAACGGAAGAATATTCCGTATCAATCGGTTTTGTATCGTCGTAGAGTGCCGGTGCTTCGCATAGGATAGTGAAGGTTCCGGCTATTGAAGCTATCGAGAACATCCACAGAAAGAGACGGTCGAGAACCATCGCGACAAAACCCCAATCTTGATCCTCCTGTGATGATATAACGAAAAACATAGTAATTAATACACGGAATAATATATCTAAATTTAATACTAGAATCGCGGAATAATATGTCTAAATTAACGAACCGCTGTTCAAGATAAATTTGGATCTTTATGAGGAAGGGTTGTTACATATAAAAGTAAAATTACTTGCAATTAATTATTTATTAATTATGAAAAGTCACAAAAATCTAAAGTGCAAATCATGCATCTCATGTGCAAATTAATTGGAAAAGAAAAATTATCAAAAATAACAATCGCGATTTCTAGTATTAATATTAATTTACATAATGTAAATGGTTCAAATAATAAATTAATTAAAAATATATTGAGAAGAGCTACGAACCATGAGAATAAAATTAAATGTAAATAGTAAGCAGAATAGAAATGTTAATAGGCGCTAAACAAAATACAATGAATTTAAACAAACGATGTTTCGACTCCGATTAGTCTCAATGTTAAATATCTAATATCGTTCAATAAAATATTTATATAAATATATTTAAAATATCAATGGCACAATTTCTAACATTATCATTGTGTGTATAATAGAACGGAGATTATTCGCTTCTAACGTGTCGCAATTACAATAGTTTGATAAAATTATATATGATCAATGTAGATAAAAATACTCAGCCTTAGATATAATCTTAAAGTTAATTCCACAATTCAGAAATAAAAATGAAATTAATCGGAATTTAAAATCTTACAGTTTGTTCCAGTATTTAAAATTCGAAACAAGATCAGTCAGAATATACAGAAATGCATAGAAGGAGCAAATTGCGATGGAGCTTCTTTATTATCCAACTAACTATTATCTAACTATTTCACTATTTTTATCGATATTGATTATATGTAATTTTATCGAACTATTGTAATTGCGACACATTAGAAGCGAATAATCTCCGTTCTATTATACGCACGATGACAATGTTAGAAATTGTGCCTCTTGGATATGACAGCAAGATGTTATTTAATACCAATATGATAACCACAGAATGCGATTATGCTGTCAATGCTTTTTTTACATCAAGCTGAAGTCTATATCTCCTCTTATTAATTTTTAGTTAATTACGGCATTAAGCCGTAAATATTTTAAATATGTTTATATAAATATTTTATTGAACGTTACATGTTTAATATTGAGAATGACTCGATTGGAGTTGAAACGTCATTTATTTAATTCATTGTATTTTGTTTAGCACTTATTAATATTTATATTCTGCTTACTATTTACATTTAATTTTGTTCTCATAGTTCGTAACCTTTCCAATATATTTTTAATTAATTTGATATTAATTGTTAAATAATTAATTTAACTATTAGAATAAAATTAAATGTAAATAGTAAGCACAATATATTAATATTAATAGGCTAAACAAAACGAATTAAATAAACGATATTTCGATTCCAATCAGGTCATTCTTAATGTTAAACATGTAATATCGTTCAATAAAATATTTATATAAACATATTTACTTTCTTATTATATAAACATATAAAATATCAACGGTTTAATACAAATTAAATGTATTAAATGTGGCTAAAAATTAATAAAAAGAAATACAGACTTCTATAATTATTTAAAATAATTGTAAATTAATTATTCAAAAATAATTTATTGTTAATAGAATATATGTGTATATGTATTAGGTGTTGGAATTAATTCGTAGCGTTTTACAAGTGATGGGAAGTACTTTCATTAATGTATTTTTTAATGCTCATGTGAAATAAATAACATTCTTTCATTAAAAACGCTACGAATTAATTCCAACACCTAATATTATATTTATTGAAGAGAGTAGAGATTTTGAACGAATTTTTTCCTTATTATATCATAAAATTCCTTCAGTCATATATATATATATATATATATATATATATAGTCGGTTTTATTCGTAACAATATTTTATATTACTTTTTGAATGTGCTTACTGCATTGAATTCGTCTTGACGTTGTATATGATGTTGGATGAACATGACGTTGTGCAAAGCTTTTTCCAGCTCGAAGGGATATTTCTTTCTTGGCGTTACATCGCTCAATGACTCGTCAAGACCGGACATAACTGTTGGAAGCCCATTGTATCCTAAACTGCCGACTAGGAATCGATTATGAGCAGTTGTCCTATGTAAACCGTTGCAACCTGAAATGGCGATAACTATACATTTATAAACATTTCCTTACAATTTCTAATGTGGCAAAGTATGTATGTGTCAATAACATGCTATTGCATATTATTGATATTTTTTTTATAATATTGCAGGGATATTAATGTTAATTTTGGTACACTTAAAAAGACATATGAATAATAATTAAAGATCTACTACTCTAATTTAAAAAGATCATACCGTCGATTCGTTGATGACGGGCAGAATCCGGCGAAGATATTATTGACGATTGTACCGCAGCTGCGACAGCAGCATTAAACTTGCTCTTCTTTTTCGATTTTTCTCTTCCGTGCATCTTGTGTACGGCAAGATCATTGAGAAGATCGTCAGGTACTCTCATCAGAAGTAGTTTCGGTAATCTTCTGATAAAGACTTTTCTCACCCAAGGTGCCATTTTATGGGTGCTCGGTTTGCGATAGTGCACATTTAGAATAATGATTGTTATCACCACCGAAAATCCGACTAGAATCATCGTGAAGAGTAGATACTTGCCAAGCAATGGTAGTGCCAGCGATGTAGATGGTATAATCTCGGATATCAGTAAGAAGAACATAGTCTGCGAAAGCAAGATATTGATGCAGAGTGCGATCTTCTCTCCAGAATCAGCCGGCAGATAAAAAGCCAGAACCGACAAGTAAGAGATGCTGACGCACGGCACAATAAGATTCACCGTGTAGAACAGTGTTTTTCGACGTAGAGTTATATTGAAGAAAATGTCGGGATATGGCTCGAGACAACACGGATAGTATTTTTTATGACGTTCTGCCGGAACGCCCAATATGTCCCACTCCACACTTGGATAATATTCTCGCAGGTCGATACCTACTTCGACCTTGTCGCCCATATTTTGATTAATGTGCTTTAAATCGATCTGAAGAAAATATTTTTAAATAAGTGACGCATTAAAGATTGATTTTTTAATCAATACACTTTGTCGTTTTCTGTGCACAATATAATGACGTTTGCATAATTCTATTTATTTGTGCATGTTATAAGTGTATGTAATTACAAAAGTTTTGTGCAGTTTGAAACTTTCATAATTTCCATTCTATATATAGTAAAATTAATCTCTAATGATTTGATTAATAATTTTATAATTGTGTAAGTAAGACAATAGACTTACTTGGAAACCATCATACGTCCACGAGCCAAATTTCATGAAACATGTTTGCTGATCGAAGGGAAAATATCTAACGTCTATTTCGCAGGAAGATTTGAAAATTGCCGGAGGAGTCCAAAGCACCTTACCAGTGTGATGCAAAATGGCCTTAGTCATTGTTGTCACACCATATTCTCCATCGGCACTGTAAACAAGACAATAAGTTATTTTGAATTAATGCATATATAAATTTTTAACGCGTAAAATATAATCGTAATAAATCACGATTTCGGAAGAAGAATCAATAAAAAGGAATGCGATTTGCAATACATCTTGCATAGCGTGCTTTTATTTTCTAAACCGTGATAATCGTAAAAGAGACGAAGAGATACCAGAGCGCGCAGTATCACGTACTTGTTATAAAGTACAATGTCTGGCAGCCATATATGTTCGCTGGGCACGTAGAGTTCAGTGACACCTCCGTATTCCGAGGGTTCCCAGATGAATTTATGATCCTGCCATTCCTGAAATTATTAATCCGACTTTGTGTTAATCTTTTGACTCGCAATTGCGATAGCAATCAAAAGTTGCCGAAATATTTTTATTTCGCTTAACTTACGTGCTCTAACCAGACGTTTGTCGTTAAGATTTGATCTTTTAAATTCTGCAAACGCGACAAACAGGTTTTATTAAAAAAATGTACAGACACAACTCTATGCCAGTTGTTGCAATAAATTTATTGATAGAAATTTTTATTGATAGAATTATATTGTATAAAATATATATATATTACGTACAAGATCTATCAGCTGCGAGAGACGGAGTCCTAGTTTCACAACAACAGTATCAGTATTATTGGACACAGGTCGAATCAGCCGATTATAGTTCGACAGCAGATCATCGTAAAGTCTCTTAGCGTCTGGATTACTGTAGCAGATCCCCACCGAAAGGATCAGGATAATTAAAGAGAATATCATTTTGCCTTCAAACGATTATATCAGATTCAAAAGCATCCTGCATAAAAATATTAATAAATCCATAAGTGATTATCCGATTTATTTCGTATAGATTTATGAAACATTCGAGAACGTTATTATTTTAAAAATTATCAGAAATTTATTATTACCTTAAAAATTATCCGCATACATAAATATATTCATTATAATAGTACAATTTTTTTTCTTTTTCTATTATTTTTTTTGTGCTTTGCTGCATATTTATAGAATTATAAATTGACTTGTAAAATGATTTATTATTTAAAAAGTAAGAAAAACATTAAATAAAAATTTCAATTTAGATTCTACATTTATAATTTTTTTTCATTTAACTGTCATATTTTTCGCAATATTTTCTCTGCTAAAGAAATTAAATTAAATTAAATTAGTAGTTACAACGCTATGTCGATAGCTTAACTGAGCTTTGCGAGTTGTTAGTTGTAGAATTATGAACCTGTTGCATTAAGCACAGCTGTCTGTCCGTATTAATTTTTACGAGAAGTACTTTAGTGCATCAAATCTTTATCAAAATATTAATATATAAAGTAAAAATTTTTCTATTGGTGACGAGTTAAAACGTAATAATTTCGCGTCGCAGAGTGTTCGAGTAGCATCATTCTTTTCCTATTATAATAATTGATAACATACCTTAAGAAACTTATAAATCGCATTAATATTTATTATATTGCACAAAACGTTATTATATAAATACATTTCCAAACGTGTAAATTTGAAAGATGCAATATTTTTACAAAATCATATTCGCCCACTTCTGTAAATATTTTAATACTATTTCTCGCAACATGTAAATTTAAATGATCCTTTTCAATTGTTGTCGCGCTTACACTAGAATTATTCATAAGAAAATATATATTCTGAAACGAAAATTATTTCAAAAATTGCTTACTGCGTCTATATTTTCACAGCGCTTATCGATTTTGCTCACCGAGCAATTATACGTGAATATCGAAGCCGGGCATGTATACGTGTATCGAACGTAATCTAAACGGTCGTGGTGGTATACTTGCGCTTCGGCCTTCTCGGGACTCCTCGTTACCCGTTCTTTAAATACGATGCTTTTATCCCGTGCCCTTCTTGTGTATCATAATCTGCGGTAAATCTGGGATACGTTCAATCTCCGGCGCGTACTTATCAGTCGGCGATACCGCGGACGGACTTCGGTCCTGCTCTCATTACTCGCGCGGATTGTTCCGCTCGCGAAACGCCGGAAGAACGTCCAACAGAAATGACATTGTGTACAGCCGCTGGACCACTGGGATGCTGGTACGTGCATCTGAAATTCGCAGGATCAATACACCATTGCGCATGTACCAGCATGGTCTACTCTGCCTCTGCGCGCTGCGAGAGCACCCTTGTCGCGCAAACTCGTCGATTTCTACTGCGTCGCCTCGCAGTGGAAAAAGTGGGAACGCATCGGCCGGGCCTCGGCACTTTCCTGGGCACTGTACTACGCCCTTTCCCGGCGAATCTCGCAGCTCTCTCGTATTTACATTAAGTTCCGTTTTATGTCTGTTATTCAACAAGAGAACACTCTAATCGCTCATTTAATTCATTCACAAGAAAACGTATGCTTTACGAGAAAAAGAGAAAACTATCATATTTTATCATTTCATTTATTCGATTTTTATGAAAAAAGGAGGTAATTATTTCCGTATTAATTTTACATGGTAATTTAATTACCCTGATACTTTTATGTCAGTTTCATTTTCTTTATATATATATACGTATAACAATAAGCTCGATGATAAATCTGCTTTATTGCAAATTCATTTTGGAATGTCACTGGCAGTTTGTTTCTTTTTTTACATGCTTGTATGTATGTATATCGCATACATTTACAATTTATTTCGCCATCTTCTCTATTCGTGCACGTTAACATTATTTTAAATTGTTCGTGATGTTTAAGTACGACTATACTTCTACTTTCTCGTTATATAATTTTCTAAAATTTACTTCGCTCGTAAAGCAGGTACTCGTAAATTTCTCAAGCAAATGGGAAGAAGGGTAAAATAATGATCTCCCCGTCACGCACAATTTGCGTAACATTTTATTACACATCTTGTATCTCATCAATCATTATGATAATCTCTTAATAACTGATGGATTAGTACTGACGACGGGTGAATAAATAAGGATGTCACTGACTTGTGTTCCGTAACGAACTTCACGTAATGAAATCATTGTGTCGAGTGCTCCCGCGCAGCCATGACATTTAGTATTCTTCTTTACGGCGAGGAACGAGAGACATTGTACATTACAGCACTTTATTCTTATGCGTAGGCCATTCTCTTACGCTTATACTTCTCGCATCCGCTTGGCGCTGTTCTGCCTTCCCGAGCTTCATGATAAACGTGACTGTTTTTCCGCATTTCCCTTGCTCTCCTCTGCTCTCTCTCTCCTCTGCGAGGAGCCACCAGTGAGGAAACTGCAACCGCCGCTCTCAAGAGTACAACATCTTAAAGTAGTATACGGTCGCGTGTTTTGTGTACGTGTATCTCAGACTTGCACGGACGGATATACGGATGTGGATCACATTGAATGATCTCGCAGAATGCAGCGTGTGTATACGTGTAAGGCGAGGAATTCGCATTCCGCATCCCTTATTCGGCGCGGAGTGTCATTCTCGTTTTTCACGATTGTTCTTGTTCAACATGTCACGTTGCACTCGCGACACGTCTTCTGATCACGTGCAGCAACTTTTCTGATTTAAATATTTATTCGACCATTTCGCCCGACCAAACGACTGTTGTACGTTATTCCGAGAGCGTATTGCTTGGGAGTCCAAAATTGCGCCACTTACTCCGTTCACTCCTTAATTGCGGTAAAGTTAGTCGAACGTGTTTGAAGTTTACGACATGACATCGATCAGTTTTGTTCTTCCGCGGGAGATAGTTACCCGATGTTCGGTAACTACTCCTGGTAAAGCGAACCCACAAGGACCCATAGGACCTCCGCCCTTTTCTCCTTGTACGACGATACGAATTATTAATCAGATTACCCGTTGCGTATAGAATCTGGTGTCAGGCAGAGCCTATCTTCCTTAATTACGGCAAAAGTTGTATCGTGTTTGAAATTTCCGACATCCAAGCGCGAAGATAAGATAGAGACTATGAGAAAACGCGAGAGGGACAGAGTAAGAGAGGGCGAGGTAGAGGACTGTGTTCAAACGAGAGAGGGAAAGCGTAAGAGAGGGAGAGTTAGAGAGCTGGAGATATGATAGCGATATGGGAAAACGGAGAGACAGTCTGCGCACAATCTGGACATCATCGCAGGCTGGTAGAGACGGTTACGTTGAGGTTGGTCTTCGGGACGTGGCGGTAATTAATGTGGCCTCACGCATCGGACGATCTTCCGTCTCTCGCTGTGCGCTCCGGTTCGCTTTTGCCTGTTTCAACCACCCTCGTGCGCTGCCCGGAGAAAACTTTCAGGGCTGCGAGATAAGCCGAAACCCCATTATAGTTCGTTGTTAGATTCCCTCGTTGTGGTCCCGAATAGTAGTAGTAAGTAATAGTAGTAGTAATAGTAGTAATAATAGTAGTAGTAGTAGTAGTAGTAGCGAGATCTCCGCTCTATCTCCGTTCCAACGACTGTTCGTATCCGCCGTTTGCTGGCCTTGCTCTTCAGAGGTCCACCTTTAACCCCAAGATAATGGGACTCGTGCGATGTTGGAGTTTAAATGAGTGTTTGCGCGCTTCTCTGTAAATTATGGCAACCCCTTTCGGGACACCCGTTGCTATAATGTACGTATACGAGCGTTTAGAAGGTGCGACGTCGTCGCGTATCACGTATGGTTGATTATTGTGCAGCATGCATTAAAATAGCGTCTTCGTGCCCTTCTTCTATGCGGTGTGTAATGTGTGTCATGCGCCGATATTTTTATTCATTTCTTTATGCGATTAGTTCTCTTTCTGTTTGATGTTGAATTTACGACCAACGGTATAATTAATCGTCCCTTGTACTAATATCTAGTTATTAACGAGAATAAGCATGTGGTTAATTTTTTTCGATCATACGTACATTGTAAAAAATATGTGAAATTGCATACATATATGTGTACACAATTTATGAAATATATAAAATTGTGATTTAAATAATTAGTACTTTTAGAAATAGTTTTATCTTTAAGTTTACAAATTTTGTTAACTTATTAATTAATATTATTTGTAAGTTATAGGTATGTTATTTTGGAATCCACTATTAAGAGTGTAGACTTACACGTACATGAAGTAAAATCACGGCTTATACATAAAATTATTCTTTATAGCAATTTGAAAATTTACAATTCAAGTTATATTTATTATAATATTTTTTACAGTATTATTAATATTTTCCCTGACGCGAGATTTTCTTTTAATCGATCCATTGGTTCCCTCATTAGAGAATTTGCGATTTTTAACAGATTCGATTTTAGTCAAAGTGTTATGCGAATACAATCGAGAAAGAAATGTATCTTCATCCAAAGTATTTCCGAGAAACGCATATGAAACTGTCGTAAAAAATGAGATGCACGAGAAGAAAAATACAAACGCCTGTACATTTTTATTGAGAGTAGTCGCACAGTTTTGCAGTAGTACTGTCGACTATTTAGCTACCGCTATCGCCGTCAAAAACAGGCCAACGGCAATAGCTACTTCCCAAGATGTTCGTGTGGCATCGAGTTACACCTTCTCAACTTTATTGTGCATACTTCGTTCACGACGGCGACACACCGTGCAGATATCACGAGTATTACATCGTACTATCCAGAATTGAAACTGCAGAACCCGCCTTGTGCCGTTCAACATTGAATGAGGGCAACTACCGGCGGTTGAAGTAGTTACTTCTGCTTAATGTCGGCACCTTTACGAAGTTAACATCCCGCTTTCAGAATTGCGATATAACTGATAGAGTTATTCTTTGAACAAGAACATCTGGCTCTTTCACAAAGAGTTCCAGAGTTGTCGACCTAGAAAGAAAAAGTTCTGGCTATTAAATGCAAAGAATTGCGATTTGAAGGAATAAAACATCAGCTTTACGTTTTCAAAAATTGTTACAGATTTTTCTATATATACTTCAATCAGGTTTGATAAATTATAATACTTTTCGAAAAATTTTTTAGGATGTTATTGAAAAATGTGAGATTTCGCTAAAGAAAAAGTTATTAGAATTATTACGGCACGCGTTATATAATTTATCTATTAGTAATAAGGCTTATAAAATTTAAAAAACAATAAAGAAAAAGGACTACGAGCTAAAAATTATTTTATAAAATTGAAGGATATAATTGTTTCTTTTACTTATGTTCAAACTTCTGTATTAACGATATTTAATTTTATAAAATAATTTTTAGCTCGTAGCCCTTTTTCTTTATTGTTTTTTATATAATTTAATTTAACCCGGATGCTCGCGTTCCGAGTTATATTTTCTCGCATTTCTTCGCTTTTTAATTTTTATTTATTTTTTCATGCTGTTGGCAGTTTTGTATTTTTTCTTTGACGTATATTTTTTTTAAATCCATTATAAGACCGCGTACGTGCTGCTCCGCTCTTACCACATTATGTATCTAAGAAGCGAAAAAATGCAAACTCACTTTTTTCAAAAGAAGCTTCGAGAGATTCAGAATGATGGATGATTCATAATTAGATTTACTTTCAAAATTTATTAGAAAACAGATATAGAAATGAACTTAATTAGATTAAAACTTGTAACTCTCTTATATATATTAATTTTTCTTTAATAAAATTTATTTTATAAATTAATTTACTTATTATTTAGCAGAGAGAGAGAGATGATTGATGACAATTGTTTGTTTAAAGACTCTTAAATTGATAGTATTGGTATCAATATGTGATTATTAACAGCAAATCATTATGTAGATACATTATTTTAATTATACTGAGGCAAAGTTTTTATTTCACTTGAATAATAATCTTTATCCAGCTTTTAGCTGTTAAAACAACTATTGAATATAAGGTTGAAAATGTTTTATCGTTTGCAGATTTGGAGAAAATGATATTAAAAACGCAGAAAAATAATAATTTTGAAGGTTTTTGTGATGGCGAACAAAAAATTGATTCCTCTTGTAAAGAAATTGTTGAGAAAAAAATGGATTCCATTTGCCCCTCAGTTATCAAGTAATTATTTTTAAAAAGTGAAAAAAATCTAGTAAAAATATTAAATTAAAAAAATAATATTTATGTCTGTTTTATAATAAAAAATAAAGTTACATAAATTATTATTATTCTTTATTTCTTAGGTTTACATATTCTGAAAGAGAAAAAA